AGTCCTAGATTTCCGTGTAGACATAAAGGATATTCAATGTTTTGTTGATGAATATGGAATTTATTTCACAAGTGGGACAGGATTTTTTTAATATTTTCACGAGTGCGAAGCACGAGTGAAAATATTAAAAAATCCTGTCTCACGAGTGGGAATAAATTCCATATTCATCTACAAAACATTGAATTTTCTGTTTATTACATTTTCTTTGATTTTCCCTTTGCCTCTGTCTTATCTTAACACAGTGTCATAGGCTTGACGTCATAGTCGAACGGTTGAGACGTCACAGCTTAGCAGTTCTGAGACTGAAAACATTACATAGCATGGCTTTTAGCAACATATTTGGGAAGAAATTTGCAGTTTTAGCTGTATCTAGTTAATTACTATCTCTATCTTATGACAGTCCAGAAATTATTTTTTACTTACTTTGATATCCTTTCACATTGTGAGAGAATATCATTTTGGTATCCTTTCACACTATGAGAGAATATCACTTTTATTCAATAAAAAAATCACAGTATTTCACTGTTGAAAATGTAATAATACATTATATCTTATGCGCCGAAATAAGTTAGGTGTATCCTGTTTTACATATGACATTAAATATTTTGGAGTCTATAGTCATATTGTGACACACACACTTATATTGTCAAAGTCGAGAAAAAGCCCAAATTTTAGTTTAGATTTAACAATTATTTTTGTAATCTCTAAAAAAAAATTACATCAGAAGCCTCCACTTTTTGAACTTTTTTTCTGAATATACTCAATAACTCCTTTGAATCTGCTGTAAATACAAAAAATCTTTAAAAATTAAAAAAAAATCTATGTCTTGTTAATTTTTAATGCCAAAAACGTTATAGTATGTGAGTGCGAAAAGGTCACATGATTGGTTATGTGTAAATTATAAGTTATTTGAAGCTATTTCTTTCTCAACGTTTTCAATTGGTCCTTGTAACACAGAATAAGTCTGTATTTGGTTCCGTAATTTATTCGGATAAAAATAATGAGGAAAAGTCTAAGAAAGTGATTTTATGTGCAAGGTTATATTACAGTGCAGAAAGGTCATGATGAATGAACCGTAGCGCCTAAAGAACCGTATTACAGAAGCATTTTTCGTTTTGATTTTTAATCAAGCTATGTGTGTAGATTATTAAAAATATAATTTATAAAAAATATTCTGAAAACTTTTGATTGCAGGATCCAACCCCCTTAATTTAGCCTTACAAAGTGAACAACTAATTTAGCTGTAAAGGTGTATTAATTCAACGCAACCTTGTTTTTTTTTTTATCCATGCTAAGTAAAGGTGGAACTTCTACAACAAAGTACATGTATGTCTTGAGAAAAAAGTTCACATAAGAAAATTCTCTCACAACTTTCATAGACCTTTCTGGGTTTATTTCGGTAAAAGGAGATTTTATATACATGTAATAAGGCACAAATTGATGTTAAAAGTTAAGGTAAAAAGTTTTCTGTTATAAAAAGGTTCTTCCAACTTAACAAATAACCTTTTCTTAATATTTTAATTTTTAACAAATATTATGTTACCTTTGGCTGAGTGGAGCAAAAAATAATCATGTCTGCTGACACAGTCTAAATCCATTAGGCAAGATACCCGCACTTTGACCCCAAACAACCATAATGCATTCTAAGTACTTAGTTGTTCCAGTAATAGCAAACACCCAGACAGACTGTGACCCTCCCGAACATAATTAGGGTGTCGTGTGGCTCATTAATACGAAACTTGTGAGTCGTTTGTTGTTTTATCGCATAGTTTCCCGGAGGTCGGCGCTCGTTAGTCAGACTCAGACCAACAGCAGTGGAGAACTTGTTACATAAGAGCCAGTAATTGGGATCCCAAGTGAGTTTGGTGTGAATCGACAGTTTCATGCATTTGTGTACATCATGAGGAAAAGAAAATATGAAAACTGGAGATTAAATATATTTTACGACGATTTACTTGGCGAGAACAAATGTAACTTATTGATGTGAGTTATTTTTTTCGTAGAGATCTGAATTTTAGTGAGATAGTAATTGTCTTAATCGCACTTAAGGTATTCGAAGATAGGTTATTATCTTATCATTTTAATGAAAGTTACTTGTCAATAATTATAAACATGTGTATATATCGGCACGTGACAAAAAAACATTTGTCTTCTTTAATGTCTCTATTAATGTCTTTAATGTCAATATCCAATTGTGAATTTTGAAGTTATAGGGTGAGAGAAATTAAAAAAAATTCCAAAATTATCATGTTGAGAATTTTGTGTTACCTCCACAAGGTTAATTCAAAATACACCGTGAGATTTCTACATATACATTTGAATTTGATTCCTTACAAGTTACAAGTAAACCACACATTCATGAACTATATATTCATAGAATTTTGTGATGTTTTTAATTTGAATCAATCAGGGTTCCCTCTCACGTCCTCTCTTGGTTGTAGTCGATCTGTTGGTTCACCGACATCTTAAAATCATTGACATTATTATGGTCTAAATAAAAATTCAGAAACTTAAATTAATACAATTTTGAAAACGCAATGTACAGAAGTGCATATACATTGTAATATATAATAATCATAACTGGTTAGCAGTTATTCCTCTAATCATACAGAATTTGGACAACTTTACGGAATCCGTAGAAGAAGATGATTTAATGTTAGTAAGTGATTGTCTTTGATGTGTGAGTAGATTTGCCAAAAGATCTTGATTATCCAGTATACCACTTATTTGTCACTCATCTCTCACAACAGGTCGATGCTTCTAACAGCAATTGATAAGAAGCCGTTATTCTTCTTTATTACGCACAACAGAAATGTAGACATTTAAAATTTTATGCATTAACCATTATTATTATTTTTTTTTGTATTTATTCCCAAAGCAAATGATTGATTAATCGATTGTACTTTTGCGTCCCATAAGCAAAGAAAATTTTAAAATAATTAGCAATAGACCTTTTTTTATCGATTGTAGGTACATTTGATGCAATATCAAATCATTATAAATTTTTTATCATAAATTTATTGTTATATTTTTTTCATAATCAAGACGCTTAAGCATTCTGTGATATGGAACTACATTTACGTCTTTTGCTAGCTTACAGTTGAATTTTGAATTTCAAAGTTCACAGTAAATGACTTCTTATTTTGTTCGAATGAGTGCTAAAAACATTCTTGCTATATGCACAAAGTGTGTATTGAATTCAAAATTGAAAATAACAATAGATGTTGTTCCTTTTAACATAGAGGTGTGTAATTTGATTTACTCGCTTGTATTAATGGCTGTGTTAGTTTGATTTGACTAGGAATTAATGCTGGAGAATGTTGTTCTATTACTAAAGAATAGACCTTTACGATCTGTGCAATTGATCGAAAATTACTTTTAGCAATGAACTGTTGTTGATCGTATCAGATTAATTAAAAAGGGCTAATATGGCGTTATTATTTAAAAAACTGTCGCATCTGAGTGAAATACAGAGCTGTTAGATTTTTAAATATCTACTTTAATCTATTACAGAAGTTAAAGCATGCGATCCAGAGACATGTTTAATTGATTTATAGTTGTACAGATAACCATATTTGATGATGACCACACATGAGATTTGCGTGTATAAAAGAACTTTATTTTCCTTGACAGGAATACAGCAATAAGCAGCGTGTCCTTACAGCTGGTGAACTTGTGGAATGAAACTTACATAATAAAATCTACTGAAGTGCACAATTACAGCGTTATCTGATTCTTTGCGATGTTAAATATATATATATCTATTGGATGGATTAGTGAAATTAGTTACAAACTAACAGTGGACGAGCACGGGATCCAGGACACAATGCTTGTTATAAATATGTATACACCCAATTATTCCACATGATGGAATCTACAAACTCTTGGAATATACATGTATTGTGTCTATTGTTTGTCGATATCATACCGTCTTGTTAAGCCATGTTTGGATGCCCAGCGTCACGTGTATACTAACAAGCTATGTGTTTTGTTGTCGAGTCGGTATATGCAGGCTCTTCGGGGTCATTAACAATACATTAGAAGAATTTGGGTGAGAAACTGAAAAAAAAAAAATTGGAATGTATAGTATCTTAGTGTTGTGAATTAACAGTTATAACTATGGACAACGATGAAAATGAAATATGTTTCTGTGTACAAAAATCGTTTTTCGGTGCAGTGTGCAAGTAGAGTGGACGAATACAGCAAAATTATTAGCATCAAGAAAATATTCCGGAGAAAATACTGTGACTTGATTCCCGTCCATGCTGAACTTAATCGTTGACTACAGTGAGAGATACAACACATAAAACGAAGTCACAATCGAGTTTTAAATTGTTTGAAAGGATTTTTCACTGGGCTTTAAATATGTTTCCTTTAGTTAGGAACTATACATTTAATTGGACAAATTGTAGTCTAACAAATGTCCCTTTACATACGTTCCATATTTATTTACTGGATTTAAATTCATCTTGCACTCGAGGAAAGTATGGGATTTTTCAATCACATTTGTTGTCCAAAATTTCGAACAAAGGGCACAGTAGTGGATTGCTTTATTCGACACTGAAAATGTTTACTATGTGCGGAGGCATTAGAGAGTGCTTCTTGGCCCCGGATTCGTTATATACCTTATGTGTACCTTAAAATAAGGTCAAATTATAAAGATCTGTAAAGGACCCAAAGGAAGGGGGCCATCGCTTTCGCTTTGTTCTTGGATTAAATTTTTACACCGATTATCCCATGAATAAACCGTTATTTAACGCAGTTAAATACGGGCGTTAATCTTCTTTCATGTTTTACCACGTGACATTGGATTATATGTAAGTGAGGAATTAATGTGACCATTTAAATATTTTTTCATATTAAACTGTTACCGGCATATAACAGAAGTTGACACTCTACTTTAGAGTTCAAGTTTTATATCAAAATTTGCAATGAATTTCTCGGGAATAGATACGACACTTGTGTGATTCTATAAAGTAGTTGTTGTGTGGTACTAAGAACTTCTTGAAGATGCATTTCGTAGCAAGAAATACCACCAGCGAAACAGGACTGCGACCACCAAACCATCATCTCAGTCCCGGTGTGTACGGACATCGGTTACGGTCAAACTCTAATGACTCTAAACACAGCTGGTTCAAGTATAAACTCGCCGGATCCGGATCCCAGATCATCCCAAACAGTGATAACGAGGCTACGGATGACGAGGTAGATTTTAATGAAAACGAGGACCTTACTCAGGAGTTTGTCAAAAGCAATGAGCTGACGAAGGACCACGACTGTGCAAAAGAAGGTTGCAATCGAGTGGTTCTTAACGTAAGTGGAATGCGGTTCGAAACCCAGATGCGGACTCTAAATCGTCTGCCACACACACTCCTTGGAGACAAAGAGAAGCGAGATAAGTTTTGGGATCCGCGCACACAAGAATATTTTTTTGATCGCCATCGGCCTAGTTTTCCTGCTATTTTGTATTTTTATCAAAGTGGAGGCAGATTAGAGAGGCCAATAGAAGTGCCAAGTGATATTTTTCTCAGTGAGCTTCAGTTCTTTGAACTTGGAAAGAATGTAATTAATTCCTATAAAAAGAAAGAAGGATTTTTCATGGAAACTGATGAAGTTCCAGAAATGCCTGATGGAACGTTTCAGAGGAGAATTTGGGAACTATTAGAATACCCAGAATCATCTATCCCAGCTCGTGTTTTAGCTGTGTTTTCAGTCGTACTGATTGTTACCTCCGTTACAACTTTTTGCATAGAAACTCTTCCAGTATTCAACGGTACACAGTGCAAGAACACGACAATCATTTCTGAAAATGGTGAAGTCATTCCAAGATTAATGCCGAATTTTGATCATCCACTTTTTATTATCGAATCCGTCTGTATTGCATGGTTTGTGATAGAACTTGTAGCCAGGTTTATATTCTGTCCCTCCAAACTGAAATTCATGAAAAGTATGATCAATTGGATTGACTTGGCTTCGATAACCCCTTATTTTATTTTCATGACTGTTTTCCTAATTACTTGGAAATGTGAGCAAGGAAACCAAGGGGGAATTCTGTCCGTTCTTCGAGTGTTTCGCGTTGTACGTATTTTCAAATTAAGCAAACATTCGGAAGGCCTCAAAATTCTAGGAAAGACACTACAGACAAGTATGCAAGAACTTAGTATGTTTGTGTTGTTTCTAGCAATAGGCATCGTGATTTTCGGTGGTGCTATTTATTATGCCGAATTGCCTGAACAGCATACCTTTTTCACAAGTATTCCAGATGCATTTTGGTGGGCAGTCGTTTCCATGACGACTGTAGGATATGGGGACGTTTACCCAAAAGGTGTTTTCGGAAAACTAGTCGGAAGTCTCACCGTGTTGTGTGGATTGTTAGCCATTGCGCTTCCGGTTCCTGTTATAGTTACGAACTTTAATAACTTCTATAGGAATTCGATGAACAAACCGAAGTAACAATTTATGTTCGGATGAAAGGTCTTCCGTTTCTCTAAACGATATGAACATACCCAATTGCTGAAGTATAATTAAGTGCTTATAAACCTTAGGACTTGCAATTCGGCAGATGCAAAGCCTTATAGGCTCTCAAAGAAATCTGTGATAATTTATTTGAAATCAGTCCATTTTCTTCCGAGTCTTTCTTATTTTTCCACATTACACGGTGCATTATAAATATACCCACTTTGTTAACATCACATTTTTGATATGTGACAAAAAATATACAATCAATTAATTTTGACATTCTTGTTTTTTGTCAATGCTGGTTCGATGAAGGTAGTTTCATGCCTGTTAAACATGATTGTATATGTAAGGAATTTTACTAGCTAGGGCGCTTCGTGAAATTTGCATCCGTGACACGTCTGTCTGATTAACACACCACTAACACACATAAATTTAAAAAAAAAACACGCAAAAACATGTACATGCTTTACATATGTATGTTTACATTTAAAATGTTCAAATCGTTAAAATTGGAATGCCCATCTGCAGCATATTGTTATATTTACATTACCATCCCGTGATCAGTAGCCTCATTGTGGAATGACAACAGTGTGAATCTCATCGTGTATACATATTAATACACGTGAGTGTGCACGAAAAGTTTATTAAAATTTATCCCATGTTTACACCTTTATCCCGTGGATATGACTCATTGGATAATTTTTTCATATTCCACAGTTAAGTGTAGTTGTGACGTCACAATGGTTTTTGCGTAAGAGTGATGAAGTAAAATAAAGTGGAGTCCTATATAAAACAGCGTAAAACATTGGTTGTGAAGTATTAAACATGGGATAAAAAGAATCTCCCATGATTTGTAGTTGGATATGACTTTTATCCAACTCGTTGTGTGTTTTTATCCCCTCCCCAAGGCTCGGGGATAAAAAAAAACACACAACTCGTTGGATAAAAATCATATCCAACTACAAATCATGGGAGATCCTATATTTATTTCATAATTGGCTTAGTCATAAAAATAGTGTCACATAATGGACTCAACCCATACATGTATATTAATGATCTATGTTATTGAATAAGAGAATGCCAATTTTTCAAAATTATATAAAACAGGTAACATCGATTTTTACAGGTCCCAGTACTTGCAATACAAAATATTATATGTTTACAGGTATTTATCCCATGTTTACCCCTTTATCCCGTGGATATGACTCATTGGATAATTTTTTCATATTCCACAGTTAAGTGCACTTGTGACGTCACAATGGTTTTTGCGTTAGAGTGATGAAGTAAAATAAATTGGAGTCCCATATAAAACAGCGTAAAACATTGGTTGTGAAATATTAAACATGGGATAAAAAGAATCTCCCATGATTTGTAGTTGGATATGACTTTTATCCAACTCGTTGTGTGTTTTTATCCCCTCCCCAAGGCTCGGGAATAAAAAACACACAAGTCGTTGGATAAAAATCATATCCAACTACAAATCATGGGAGATCCTATATATATTTCAGATAGCATGTATTCTCTGATTAAAATAATCATAAAAATATTTGGACTAATTCAAAGTCAAAAGAGACACAACTTTTAAGCAATTTAAAAAAAAATCCTTGAGGCGATTTTGTTATGTTAACGTTATTTTGTACGAAAGCCGAATAGGCTCATTTATGACGAGGTAAAAAAAAATTATTCGTTATAATAAGTTAATTACCTCGTTATAACGGGTTACTTATCTCGTTTAAACGAGATAATCAAGTTATCTCGCTTTAACGAATTAGTATCACGTTACAAAGAGTTATCTCTTTATTGCGGGTTATTTATCTGTTATATATAATTAGTTAGTTGTCTAATGTTTCTTGTTAAATATTACGAGAATATATATCAGGAATTTAAGAAATAAAATGACAGTAGTTTGGATCCAGTAGTTTATATCGATTTGAACTAATGATTATCAGTCGAATTTAACTTGAAGTCGATCGATAAATGGTTAAAATTATCTCGTTATAAGTGGTTCTTTTTATCTTCTCATAAATGAGCTTATCCGGCTTTCGTAATTTTGAATTCATAAAATTTAAAACAAGTATAAGTAAATTTAATTAAGTTGTTATTTTGTAAGTTCCAAAAATTTTGATATATATTATTTTAATAACAGAAAATATAGACCCATTTATGCATATGCTGAACTTTACTATGGCACAATTAAGTGATTAAAACCATGAAGGTTGCAGTAGTACATGTAGGAATTGTAGTATTAGTACATGTGGTAGTAGACCATATACTGTTGTAGTAAACACTAGTGATGATATTGACTGCTTTTAGTGGCGGAATTTTACATCCCGTATCATTAACCAAGCAACAGGCTAACTACTATTGATATAATATCCTTTAAAGCTCTAAACTATACCAATAATGAATACCGGTGTAATCCACTACTGTGAATTTTAAAAATGATAGTTTTAAAACGAAATATTTTAAATATTTCGTCAACTGATGAAACAAATATGATGCAGATATTTCATTAATGAGTGCAATGACATCTACAAATGCTAAATGTACATGTACGTGGTCATTAATTTATATGTTTTAGGATTCATTTTCGTTAATGCATATGGTTACTTCAGACAGTTTTGAGTTCGTGTTTTACATTAACATTGCATGTGCTAATATACAAGGTGTCCTAAGTGCATTTCAGCATTTCCTTGTGTTTAAATGAACCGTCTATCTATCTTATGTTTTATGCCAGACATACGGGCTTTTGAGAGTAATTGACCCTAGGCTACTCGAATATCTACAGCGCCTAATCAATAGATTATCGTACAATACAAGTTATACAATAAATATTTAATCCAATAAGGATCATATTTGTCAATGCTGGACCATTTATATGTTATCAAGGGAAATAATTGGGGAAGCGGAAAGAGCCATAAAAAGAAATTGCTGCTAACGAAGTGGCCAAAATAGATACACATGTATACAAGTGCTTGTATAGAAAGTGGGCTTTTTTAAATATTAATAATCATATTTGATACTTTGTATTTCTACAAATTTAGAAGTCTGAAAATTATGTTTCTCAAAATGTCTGTGAAAATAAATATTTTACGTCACAAAACAAATCGAGGCTGAAAATTATATGAATGTTTAATAGTAAGAATATGTTGTTTGTCTGGTATGATTCATTATTATTACCTTTACACATGTAGTAGATTTCAAGAATGAAACTCCCCCGCTTTTCTTCTAGAAAAAATAATAATGTTGATAGACTATTAAAGGAAATTAAAAAGAATATGTGATACAATGAAGCTTATAAAAACATCATCGAGATAGTGGCGCCCTTATTATTTTTGGTGCTAGTGGAATGTAACTGATATTCTTGACCAAACACAATGAAACATGTGTATAGAACTAGTACTCTTAGATAACTCTTCTGCTTGCGAAATATAGAGATTATTTATAAAGAAGATGGGTGAACAAGGCTTGCAGAATGCCTATAGCTTCAGATATTAAAAAAAATCATATTTGTGAATTAAGTATTTAAAGTAAAGTTCTCATTATTGAAATTTATGAAATTATGATCAACAAAACTTTTCTGAGAAAAATGATCTTGGAAAAAATTATTCTTTTATTTAAAAAAAATAAATGGGATTCGTGGGATTCGAACCCCTAACAATAAAAATCCGGAGTATCATATTGCTTTGAGACCAACACTCTAACCACTACGCTACACAGCTCCTCATGAAAAGTGGCATTTAAATCATGTTTGTGATATGACCCTTGACTTAATGAACTTCAAGTATTTCTCGGAAAGATACGAATGCTCTGTCATAAAAGTATACTTTTAAGGTATAGTGGGTCTTTGGTCCATGTTTTTGTAAACCAAATAATGTATATTTTCATGCAAACTTTTAGGATTAACTTTCAAAAAGGTGGAGCGAAGACCCACTCATATCGAAAAAATTTGTTAAAATCTGAGAAAATGATCCTTTGTGTCCTCTTTAGTGTGTGTATGCTATTTCTTAGGCATACAATTTTAGTCTTTGTGAGATTTTTGTAAATTGTAGAGATTTTACATAAAGTATACGTTAATGTTAAATGAAATATCAAAGAAAATTTTGATATAATTGAGATTTTATTTTTCACTTCATGTTTGTTGCATTATAGGCACTTCGCCCGCCTTGTTCACCTATCTTCTTTATCATAATACTCGTAATGTTCATATTTCACATTATTTTTGGTAGCTCCATCATGCATCCATGTTGTTCAAGTACACTAACGGTACACATGCAGTAAATGCAGATCTGTAGCTCGCTGGTCTTAAAAAAAATTGAGTTGGACGACAAGAGAGCTACAGTGCCACCCATTGAAAAAAGTGCATATTTATTGCGCACAAAAAGTGCGCTGTTTCTCGATTTATTTCTTCGTATACCTAAACTACCATCTCGAATATTCCTAACGTTCCGAACATATTCTTTTACTATTTCCACATCAAATCATTCCTTGTTGTTAATAGCCCTTTTGGGCAAATTGAGACCAATGAAATTTTTGCCTATTTATACTGCCATTTTGAGTGGCAAGATAATTCGGTCAACTTTACGAAGGTCAGCCGTGCAGATGTCAATTAGGAGAGTAATTGTGCAGTTGAGGTAAGAATCTGGAGATATAAATCTAGAGTCGAGCGCGATTTTTTGTGCGTAAAAAAATGTACAGTTTTTTTGTTGTTTTTTTTTTCTATGGGTAGCACTGTAACTCACCGGACTATCAAAATTTATTTCTTTCGAAGAGCTAATAGTACAGCTCAATACATAATGACATATTGTCTTTGATTATGTACAGTGCACTCCAAAAAATGTTTTAATATGCAAATATATAGTCTTTCAGTGTCGTTTTAATAAGGAAAAAAGAATGTATATTATACTAAGTTAACTTTAAAATAATGTTTGTTTGGCCTCTCCCGACTCAGGATGCAAAAAAATGGGTCGGTAGGTAGGTGGGATTTTTTTGTCTCAAAAAATTTCATCATCAATGCTGAAT